TTATACAATGAAGTGACAGCATTTTGGAAAATTGTATCATTCAATGAATCCATAATTTCAGATGTTTCAAATTCATGCCAGGGTAAAAATGAATTCAAACCACAAGCCTAAACCATTGGATTTTGATGTAAACAGAATAAAAAGTTCATGGATATGATTTCAGATTCTACTTGCAGCTAATATTTAAGAAAATACCACTTGTTACATTTTTGGTGCAGTATCAGAGAATAGCCACAATAATATGACAAGGCTATTAAAATACTCCTTTTTAAAGAAAAATAATATATAAGCATATAAAGCAAACAATATTTGTTTCAGATTGAATACAGAAACCAATATGACAGCCCTGCAGTTTTCTACTAAAAAAGAATTGCAAATGTAAAATTATGACATTCCATTTATGAAACTGTTTTTGAAAAATATGGTGGTTTATCATACACATAAATACACACACACACAAATTTTTTTTTTTGGTACCAATGTTGGAACTCAGGGGCACTTAACCACTGATCCATATCCCTAGCCCTTTTTATTTTTTATTTTGAGATAGGGTCTTGCTAAGTTGTTTAGGGCCTTGCTAAATTGCTAAGTTTGATTTTGAATTTGTAATCCTCCTGCCTCAGCTTCCCAAGATGCTGAGATTATAGGCCTGTGCCATTGTGCCTGACTTTAAAAACAAATGTTTATTGAGACAAGGATTTTCATAATCTAAATTTATTCAAAATCACACACTACTATGATTTGACTCATTTTACCTCTCTTCACTCTTATAGGCCTCAGCTGTTTCTCTTATAATTTTGTAGTGATAGGGATTGAATTCAGGGCCTTGTGCATGGTAGGCAAGCACTACCACTACCACTGATTTGTACCCATATCCACACTGTTCTAATTTTAATCATTTATTTCGAGTATTATTAGTAAGCACAGTATGACACCTTGCTTAATTTCTCAGCTTTATTTTATATATATATATATATATATATATCTTTTCCCTCTGCCAAGTCAATCAGGAGTCAAATCCTATGGAGTTTTCCTCAAAACTTTTTTTTTTTCCCTGAACCAAGCCTTCCTTCTATGTTCCCACTATTTCTTTGATCCAATCTCACAATATCTTTTTTACACTTTTGACTTTATTTTCTGTACTTGCTCTATCACCCTAATCTGTGTCCCTCCATGGCACTCTATCACTCTATCCTTATAGTTTTACTTTCCTAAAAAAACAAAAGCAGTCTTCTGCCTGAAGACTTTTATTGGCTCCTGCATTGTCTTTTAGGGCTTCCATTGTAATGCATCTGAATCTTGGGCTAGGTCCTGAGTTCCATCCACAGCAACACACACACACACCACAAACTGAGTGGCTTAAACAACAAAAATTTATTTCCTCACAGTGCTAGAGGCATGGAGACCAAAACCAAGATTTCAGCAAGAGGGCTGGGTTTGTGGTTCAGTGGTATAGCACTTGCCTAGCATGTGTGAGGCACTGGGTTCAATTTTTAGCACCACATATGAATAAAATGAAGGTCCATTGACAACTAAATAAAAAAAAAAAGATTAAAAAAAAAAAGGATGGGGTTGGAGATACAGCTCAGTTGGTACAGTGCTTGCCTTGCATGCACAAGGCCCTGGGTTCAACCCCCAGCACTACCCAAAAAAAAAAAAAAAAAAGGTGTCAGCAAGACTTCTTGTCTTACAAATGTCTGTCTTCTCCCACTGTCTTCACATGGTCTTCTTTATGTGTGTCTCTATGTTGTAATTTCCTCTTCTTATAAAGACAGTCCCACCATGCTGACCTAATTTAATAGTAATTTACCTCTTTAGAGCCTCTAATCTGAGGTACTGAGGATGAAGGAATTTTGAGTGGACATGTTAATAGAGCAAGAGAAGAAGCAGGAATATAATTGAGAGTACTTCAGTAGTTAATAGATAGTGATTAATAGTTATTAGATGATAAAGGATTGGCTTAGAGTGTTTGTGTTCAGGATATATTTTGAAAGTAGAGCCAAAAGAATTTGCTGATTGGATTGTGGTGTGTGTGTGTGTGTGTGTGTGTTACTAAGGATTTAAAAAATTCCAGGGGGGCTGGGGATGTGGCTCAAGCGGTAGCGCGCTCACCTGGCATGCGTGCGGCCCGGGTTCGATCCTCAGCACCACATACCAACAAAGATGTTGTGTCTGCCGAAAACTAAAAAATAAATATTAAAAAAAAAAAAAATTCCAGGGGCGCTTTACCACTGAGCCACATCCCCAGCCCTTTAAAAAAATTAAAAAAAAAATTGAGACAGGGTCTCACAAAGTTGCTTAGGGCCTTGTTAAATATCTGAGGCTGGCCCTAAACTTGTGATACTCTTGTCTCAGTCAATCCCCTTCATGGCAATCACTGGTATTACAGCCAAGTGCTATCATGCCTGGCTCTGATTGGATATTGAGTATGTGGAAAAGAAGTCAAGTATGATTCCCAGATTGCCTGTCTGAGAATGTGGATGAGAGATAATGTCTTTGTGAAATAGAAAGGACTGGGAAAGGAAATGGTCTTGTTCTAGACACATTAAGTTTGAGATGCTTATTTGACATCCATAAATAGAATACTCCTGTACCGATCAAGAAAATGACCGTTTGGGAAGGTGATCTGATAACTGCTAAAGCAAAGTACTTGACAAGATGATATCTAGTGGACGAATAAGAGGGCTGACTTTAGAGTGGAGCATGTAGTTTGTTCACTGTTACAGGAAGGGAAGATAATGTAGGTGAACTTCTACCCCCTGTAGTGGGGTAGATTTTGTTCTGATAGGAAGAGGCAATTCTACTCTGTCAATGTTTTTTCCTACAAAAAACCTAAAAGTGATATTATTGAGTAGGGGAGGAGTATTGGTATGAGCTGAGAGAAAATAGTGTAAAACAGTTATTTAGGAAAGTAACAGAGAGCAAAACCTAAAGGCTGAGGTCCACCTGATATCTGTGATAATAAATTTAAAGAATGTTCACAATGATATTATTGCATAGGCAGGGAGGGAGGGAGAGAGAGAGTAAGAATTTGCATTGGCATGAGATTTTGTGTGTGATTTCTGTCAAAGAACAGAGGGGAAATAGTCTTGCAGTTGCAAGAGATCAAAGACTAATGTCCTGTATTTCATGAGTCAATCCTGTGACATGTAAGAGAAAAAAGCATGTCCACTTTTAGAGAGGGCTGTAGGAGAAGTCGCTCTCCATCTACCAATTAAAGAAGGAAGGCAAAGGGAAGATGAGATAAAAATCATTAGTAGATTTTGCTGATAAAGTGAGTTTCCAAAAACTCAACAGAAGGTTTTTGAACAACTGGGAGAGATGCGCGGAATTGGGTCAGATTGAGGAATGTATGGAGTATCAGAAACTGGGGAATTAGAATTTGTGTGGTGACTGAGGTAAATAATAATTAGCTTCAATCATGTTTTATTTTTGGGATAGTTTTAAAATATGCTCATTGTATAAATTAAATACAGTAACATTTACCATTTTAGTGCACAATTCTATTAAGTTTTTTTGTTCTTGTTACAGGTTATTGAACTCAGGGACACTTGACCACTGAGCCATGTCCCCAGCCCCATTTTGTATTTTATTTAGAGACAGGGTCTCACTGAGTTGCTTAGCAGTCTCCATTAGTTGCTGAGGCTGGCTTTGAACTTTCGATCCTCCCCAGCTGCTGGGATTACAGGTGTGGGCCACTGCGTTTTGACAAACATACACTTGTGTAGTCACAATCAAGATATAGTTCCATCATTCCAAAATATACCCTTGACTATGTAGTCAACATCTCCCTAGCCCCTAATTCCTGGAAACCACTTACTTATATTCCTTAGCTACAGGTATGTCCAGTCCAGCCTTGTCCAGAATGTCATATATACAATATATAGCCTTTTGATTCATGGTGTTGCTTGTGTCTGTATTTTATTCCTTTTATTGCAAAGTAGTATTTTATTATATGAATGTGCGACTGTGCAGAATATTATTTTATTACATGAATGTACTACTGTTTATCCTCTGAACTGTCAAGGATAATTGGGTTGTTTCCACTTTTCATCCATTGCTAAAAAAAACCTCTATGAACAAGTATTTGTGTGAACACAATTTTTTCTGTCTCTTGGATATATACTTAGGAATGGGATGGATCCTATAAACATATTTTTAACTTCATGAGAAACTGCTGAACTGTTTTGCAGAGTGTGAGTTTATTTCTTTTTCACAGCATTGAGGGTTCACTATGGGTAGCAGTGGCATGGGGTAGGGTTGAGTAGTTCAGATAAGACACAGTAGGACTCACAAATCTTAAATACCTGTTATTACAGAAAAAATTTAGTTTGTTCTTGTAAGTCTGTGGCCCACAGCAACTCATAATCTGGTTGTGCTAATTTTATAAGAAACTTAATGCGGTCAATAATCAATAGCACAATTATAAGATTGGTTGTTTATTTAAACATGTAATAAAAATTTTGCTCTTGAAATGGAGAGAAATAAAATGTTTTAAGTGTATTGGAAACAGGGTTTTATGAATGCTATATACAAAACACGCAGGTTTTCATTTTGTGGTAGTTATTGAAAATTGAGTTCTACATTTAAAAGGGTAAAGATGTCTCCCAAGGGGCTAGGGCTGTATAGCTCAGTGGTAGAGCATCTGCCTCGCACATGTGAGGCTCTGGGTTCAATCTTCCGCACCACATAAAAATAAAGATATTGTGTCCATCTACAACTAAAAAAAAAAAAAAGATGTCCCGCAAATCGCTGTATTTTCACACGCTGATGCACATATAATCTGTCCCATATATACAAACAACAAACAGTACCAGGTGTTCTAGGATGGGAAATTGCACTTTCCCACCCTAGAAGGCAGCTCTTGGTACAGCGCGCAAGGTTGTACGTCTACACGGCCAAAGTTCAGTTGGTGCCGGGCATGCGCAGCCGGCCGATTGGACGCCGGCCTTTGCGGAGGGGCGGGACTAAATTCGGCGTCTTTCCTTCCAACCGCAGCTCGTGGCAGCGCCATTTTGAATGTGCGGCTGTCGCGGGCGTTAGTTCGGTAGGCAGGGCTGCGGGCTCGGGCTTCGAGCAGTTTCCTTACTTTCTCTGCTTCGTTTCCATAGATACATGTAGAGACGTGTACATACATACATCTAGGCCTGTATCCGGTGTTTGAGGCGAACTCCTTAAGATGATGTTAAGAGGAAACCTGAAGCAAGTGCGCATTGAGAAAAACCCGGCCCGTCTACGCGCGCTTGAATCCGCAGCCGGCGAGAACGAGCCGGTGGCCGCGGCGGCCATGGCGCTGGCGCTGGCGGGAGAGCAGGCACCGCCTGCCCCAGGGCCCCCGGAGGACCACCCGGAGGAAGAGATGGGGTTCACCATTGACATCAAGAGTTTCCTAAAGCCGGGTGAGAAGACGTACACTCAGCGTTGCCGCCTCTTTGTAGGGAATCTCCCCACCGACATCACCGAGGAGGATTTCAAGAGACTCTTCGAGCGCTACGGCGAGCCCAGCGAGGTTTTCATCAACCGGGATCGTGGCTTCGGCTTCATCCGCTTGGTGAGTCTCGGGCCGCCAGCCCAAGGGAACAAAAGGGCGGTGGGATGTCCGCGGGGCTTCGCTTGTCCAGAATGGCCTCTCTGTGGATTGTGACCGCCCGGGTACCCTGCTCGGTATGGTGGCCTCTGCTTCGCGCCGGTTGGGCTTTGCAGGCCTACTGTCGCGCGCTAGATCGTTACGGTCAACCCTGCCTGAACGGGTAGCCTCCGGTACCTGGGGGATCGGGGTCGCGGGGACCGACTGCATTTTCGGGTGACAGTTCTTCGAGGCACAAATATGTTGTGAAGAAAATGTATTTGGAACGGAAGCTTCGGTTTGGCCAGAAATTTGGGTTTGAAGGAACAAACGACTTGCTTCTTAAAGACTTACCCAAAACATCCCTTTGCCTTCAATAAGCCCTGCACGCATTTTACAGCAAACCGCGTTAATACTCACCTCAGTGCAGCCCTCTCTTTACCTTACCCTTGCAGGTGCTTAAACTCTGTACTCGAGTACAGAGTTCCACCTGCAGTGATTGGATAGTATTGAATTGTATTCTAATATTGTTTTTCCACCCGACTTTTGGAGGTTCCTGTGTTTTGGTGGGGGAGGTCGGCCAATATACTACATTATAGTTGACTTATTTGTCCTGCAGTAGGGTATTATGTGTCTTGCCCCCTTTAAATCTAAATTTTGAAAAATTTTCCGATAACATGCAAAAATTGTGCCTCCTTCTTATTCTAAAAAGCTTTGACAGTTTGCACTCCGGACAAAGTATTTGCTTTTATTAGGTTTTCCTTTGTTTTGTGGTGAGTTCATCAGTTGCAGTCATACAGCATTATTGTCATTCATATTTAGATACTGTTTTTTCTTCAATCACAGTCTTTTTTAGGAGACATTTTACACATAAGACTTTTTCCTGTTATCTTTCTAGTTAGACCCTCACTCTAATATTCATTGCAGTTTATGGAAGCTGTCTTATTGGAACTTGAACTTTCAAAATCGATTTCTCTTCATATGTGGACAAAGTAAAACTTAATATGTAGAGAAAATTTATTGTATTCTTAAATACTTAAATGGCTCCAAGAGAAGATAGTTAGTTTCAAGATATTAATAAAAAACAATATTTCCTTGGAATTCAAGTAAATAATCAGTACATTTTGAACAGATATATTTATCTTTTGTACAGTAGAGAAGCAGCCTGTCATTTGGTAAAATTCTTAATGTAAATGCAGAAGTTTGGGGATGTAGCTCAGTAGAGCACTTGCCTAGCATGCCAGAGGCCTTGAGTTCCATCCCCAGCATCACAAAATAAAAAAATGAAGTACTGTAAGCAACTTTTGATAAACTTTCCAAAAGGATTTTATGTAATATTTTCGTGATCCTTGGTCTCTTGCTTGCAGTGTCTTATTCTGAAGTTGATATTTTGGAGGAGGAAGAATGGAAGGACTTCATTTCCCTGTTTTGAAAGCCTTTACAGGACCAATTAATATTTTGACATTGGAAAATCTTTTTGTTTCTTTTTTTAACTTCTTTTTTACTTTTAGTTGTAGATGGACACAATACCTTTATTTTATTTTTTATTTTTGTAGCGTTGAGGATTGAACCCAGTGCCCCACACATGCAAGGCAAGTGCACTACCAACTGAGTCACAATTCCAGCCCTTTTTTTTGTTGCTTATCTTTTATCTTATTAATAATAGACAATTCCTTCCTTCCTTCCTTCCTTCCTTCCTTCCTTCCTTCCTTCCTTCCTTCCTTCCATCAGCACTGCCCAGTAGAACTTTCTGCAATGATATAAAGGCTGTTATATATCTGTACTGTCCAAAAGAGTACTCACTAGCCACATGTGACTGTTGAACACTTGAATGAGGCTAGGAGGGCTGGGTAGTGCAGTTTGAATGGTACTGGAAATGGAACCCAGGGGCACTTTACCACTAAGCTATATCCCTATCTCATTTTTAATTTTGATTTTTTTTTAATGAACTTAATATTTTTTATTATTATTATTATTATTTTTTTTTAGTTTTCGGCAGACCCAACATCTTTGTTTGTATGTGGTGCTGAGGATTGAACACTGGGCCGCATGCATGCCAGGCGAGCGCGCTACCCCTTGAGCCACATCCCCAGCTCCCATTTTTAATTTTGAGACCCGGTCTCACTGAATTGATTAGGGCCTCTCTATAATTGTTGAGGCTGGCTTTGAACTTGTGATCTTCCTGCCTCAGCCTCCTCAGTTGCTGGGATTACAGGCCTATTCCATTGTCATGGCTCTTAATTTAAATAGCCAAGTATGGCTAGTGTATGGGCCAGCACAGTTTATTCAATGTACTTTTAGTACTGTTCATTTAAAAAAAAAAAAAAACAACTGGGATTAGGAGGTGAGAAGGGCTGCTGTTGACTGTTCTTTTGGAATATACTCCTCCAAACATAGCACACTAATTTTTTTTGCATACAATTAGTAAAGTTTTGTCTGTTGGAAGCCAGGATTTAGTTTATAGAATTTGACTTTATAGATAGCTTTACAGTTTAATGTGAATTCTGTTTGTAAGATGTAAATTTAAAAGGTTTATTTCTGAACCATTATTTTTTCTACTTAGAAAAATCATATAATGTATACTAGATCTGAATAAACATATATGACATAGTGGCTTTTTAAAATAAGGGTGTAATTTTTTTTAAGCATATAAAGCAAGGCTTATTAAAAAAGGGGTAACAGACTTCTCCTGGGAGGAAGAATGGGGCCATAGCTGGTATCCTGGTATCCCCAAGGGTGTAATAACTGGTTTGTTTCTTGAAATAATTTATTCAGTAACTGATCTTAAATTACAAATAAACTAGTAGTTGTAGTATTCCAATTCGTAGAAGAAAACATTTTCCCATATGGCATAGGGTCAGCATTGCTAGTATTGAGTGGTGGAGAAACAATTTAAGTGTTTCTTTTATTTATTTATTTTTTTTTATTATTTTTTTTTATTTTTTAGTTTTTCGGCAGACATAACATCTTTGTATGTGGTGCTGAGGATCGAACCCGGGCCGCACTCATGCCAGGCGAGCGCGCTACCGCTTGAGCCACATCCCCAGCCCCCAATTAAAGTGTTTCTTACACATATGGTCGTAATCCAAATTGTTAGCATATGGTACATTAGAGATGAAATAGATTGTTTTAGACATTTTATTGTGGAATTTTAGATTTTGGTTATTTATTGATAATTTTAGACTGGATAGATCTGAAAAGTTGTACATTTGTTTTTTAAAGTTATACATTTTAAAGTTAATTTTTTGTTTCTTTTTTTTTCCATAAAGTGTTGGGACTTTTTAATTACCTCGCCCTAAACTCTGTAGTGATGCTCTAACACAGCCTGGTTGAAGAAGGCAACTGAAGTTAGTTTGATTTACCTAAAACTGGTATTAGTTTGGCCTGAACTTTTGTTTTTATCCTAATAAAACAGATTTATCAAATGGTGGTTCTTGACTAGTATATTTATTTATTTAAATTTATTTTTTAGTTTTACGTGAACACAATATCTTCATTTTTATGTGGTGCTGAAGATCGAACCCAGCGCCCAGCGCATGCCAGGTGATCACGCTACCACTTGAGCCACATCCCCAGCCCAGACTAGTATCTTTAGATCTTTTCCTGGACTAAGCAGAGGCTGCTTAAATTGTTTCCCCCACAGTACGTGCTAGCCTTGGTGACCTTATACCTCCCCAAGTAATCTCACCATATCTATTAGCTGAGAATCAGTTAGATGTGTGAATACTAGGGCCCTAACCCAGATCTACTGAATCAGGAAGTTCTGGAAGTGGGGCCCAAATATCTTGTTTTAAATAGCCCTCTGTGATTCTGATGCTTGTCAAGTTTAAGAAGCCAACTTTTCTAGGAAACCACTTGAAGTTAAAAATCAACTGAATTTACTTTCAGTCAGTCATTAGGGACTTAGTCCCCATCTGCCTCTTTTTTTTTTTTTTTTTTTAGTTATGAAATGATAGATGTTAGTATTATAGATTTGTTATAGAATGTACTTTGTATAATTTTAAGTCATATTGTATTTCAGGAAAGTGTGAGAGTGGTAGTCTTTCTTTTTCTTTTTCTCTTTTTTTTTTTTTTTTTTTTGGTGGCACTGGGGATTGGACCCAGGACCTTGTGATGCTAGGTGAGCCCTTTTTCTTAATTTTTTTATTTTTATTGGGGATTGAACCCAGGGGCACTTTGCCACTGAGCTGTATCCCCAACCTTTTTTATTTTGACAAGGTTTCATTAAGTTAGCGAGGATCTTGCTGAGGCTTGCCTCAAACTTTTGATCCTCTTACTTCATCTTCTGGAGTTCTTGGGATTACAGGCATTGCCAAGGTGCCTGGCTCAGGAGAACTCTTATTTTTTCTGTGTGTGTGTGTGTGTGAGAGAGAGAGAGAGAGAGAAGACACAAGGATTGGGAATTAAACCCAGGGGTGTCCTGCCATTAAGCTATATCCCCAGTCCTTTTTATTTGTTATTTTCAGACAGGTTTGCCTAAATTGCCTAGGCTGGTCTAAAACTTGAAATCCTCTTGTTTCTGCCTTTCAGGTAGCTGGCATTATATGTGTGTGCCACTGTGTCTCTGTTTGTTAGACTTCTGTTGTGTTTTTTTTTTTTAAATATTTATTTATTTTTAAAATATTTTTTTTAGTTGTTGATAGACCTTTATTTATTTTTATTTATTTATAAACGGTGCTGAGAATCGAACTCAGTGCCTCACACATACCTGGCAAGTACGCTACCACTGATCCACAGCCCCAGCTCCTAATATTTATTTTTTAGTTGTAGTTAGACACAATACCTTTATTTATTTTTATGTGGTGCTGAGGAATGAATGAACCAGGACCTCTCATGTGCTAGGCAAACACTCTACTGCTGAGCCACAATCCCAGGCCTGTTCATTAGACTTCTAATGATAGTACAACATCTTTTCTCTCTAGTATACTTTCTAAAAGATGATTATTATTTACTTGGTGCAATTTTTCTTTTGGTACTGGAGCATA